TCAGTGAACTGTGAGCCAAATAAACCCCTTCCCTGTTCATTTTGGTGCCAGGTATTTTGTCTCAGCACTGAGAGAAAAGTAACTAAAATAACTGGGGACTTGCATCCTTCTCCAAACTCATAACTGTTTCACTCTGTCCCCCATTCCCTATGCGGCAGCCACCGGGACATGCTCTACATTCTAGAGGGTATAGTGCTTCCACCCTCAGAATCTTGGGGGTATCATTTTACTGGGCCTGAAACTCTCCTCCTCTTCACCTGACCGTGCCTTCTCAAACTCTTCAGGTCTCCAACTATCTTTCCATCATAAGTCTCTTATGACTTTCTAGACTACTTCAGATTTCCCTTTTACACATACTCACAGTGCCTTGTCACAATCACACCTGAAAATTCACTCATGAGAGTATTTGCTTAGTGTACTTCTCCCAAGAGTCTATAAGCTTCATGAGGGGATAGCCTAGAACGGCTACATCCCCAGTCTTCCAATTAATTCACATTGAATGCCGAAAAAAATAGGAGAAAAGGTATGCACAGGAAGACTGTTAGCACTGAAAAGAGTATGGACAATGAAGACTCTGCGAGCACAAAGATGCCACCTGTTGTGGAATTTTCACCAGCTGAGATCACCAAGCGAGTTCACAGAGGTAGGCAGGTGTGACACACTTAAAAAAAAAAAACAAGAAGTTTATTTATGCTATGTGCCTCAAATAACCCGTAAAATTTAAAAGAGTAGAGGTTGTGATTTTTCTTTTTCTATATCCTGTGTACATTGCCTTGTACACAGCACATACTCAGTTAAGCATTTGCTGTCTGAGTTAATGATCACACACACTAGAGTAATATGACACAGTTTCTAGGGTATAAGCTATGAATACACTTAAAAATTTGTGAATCCACTTTTTAAAAAAAATTTAACACTGTTGCACTGGTTATCTCTTAATCTTACTCTAACATAGCAATTTTAACCTTGGGTCCTCATATTGAGACACCCACACTGTAGTTTCCTAACGAAAATACATCTTCAGCATAGCAGTAGCTGGCTGTGCATCTCAGTAGCTGCACTGAGGGGTACAGGCAGCAACCTTTGTGTTCACCCACTTGACAGGACAGACAGCAAGGTGTGTACGTGTGTGTCAAAGTGTAAATGGTAAGTTTTACCCATGTTATGTACCGTTACATTTTTGTACTATAATTTTTTTTCCAGCTTTAATTAAGTTTATTGGTACATTTTAGGGATACAGTACAGTTACATTCATTGTTGGGATCTTGTACCTCTACTTAATATAACTTTGTAATATAACTGTAGGTCTGTGTCCCTGTAATAATGAGATTTCTGTATATGGCAATATAGTGTGCTAAATGTTCATGTATTCTGTGCCAAATTTGGGAATTTAAAAAAAAACATACTTTTGTTTTTTTTTTTTCCAGCTTTAATTGAGTTTATTGGTACATTTTAGGGATACAGTACAGTTACATTCATTGTTGGGATCTTGTACCTCTACATGACAAGTCTTGATTCTCATTTTTTCCCCTTACCTCTGCCCTCCCTTCACACCCTCTTCCCCTCCCCATCTACAAACACTTTATTTTCATCCTCTCACATTTTTTTCTTTTCCCTTTTTACTCCTCCCCTACCCATCCCACCTTCCCTACACCTTTAGCTCCTTTCTTCCCATTTCTAAATGTCAGTAATCTTATTAGAATCTTATGCATTGTTGCAGATTATTCACACCAGGGAAACTATTCGGTATTTACACATGTGTGACTTATTTATTTCACTTAGAAGTATATCTTCAACTTGTATCCATTTTCCTATGAATGAATCTATTTTCTCATTCTTTATGGCTGAGTAATATTCCATTTTATAGAAAAACCACATCTTCTTTATCCAGTTTCCAAAGGATGGGCAAATGGGCTGTTTCCAAGATTTAGCTATTACAAACTGCACCGCTATAAACATGGGTGCGCATACTTCTCTGTGATATGATTCTTTTAGTTCTCTTGGAAAGATACCCAGCAGAGGGATGGCTGGGTCAAATGGAACCTCCAGTCCAAGCTCTTTGAGGTATCTCCATATTGATTTCCATAGTGGTTGCAGCAGTCTGCACTCCCACCAACAATGGAGAAGTGTGCCTTTCTCCCCACAACCCCGCCAACATTTGTTATTGTGTGCTTTCTTGATAGCAGCCATTCTTTGTGGGGTGAGGTGGAATCTCAGTGTTGTTTTCATCTGCATCTCTCGAATGACCAGTGATGTACTATAATTTTTTAATTAAATGTTTTCTTTTGATTTATCTTGTGGAACTAGCCCAATACAGTGCAATGTCGCATGGAAATCTGTGCTACAACTTTGGATTGAAAGTGAGTCATCAGGTGACTCGGCTACTGATGTTGACTTGGATCGTGTGAGCCAAAGAAACAGCAATATAGGACAGATATGACAGAGAAGTACAGAATGAAGACCTTGATTCAGACTAGTCAAAGTGCTACAAAATGGTCATGTGTACCTGAACAATCCAATGTTAGAACCAGGTCAGCAAATGTGATTAGGTTCTTGCCAGGGGTGAAACCTACTAGATGGTGGCCAACAAATCAATGTTGGAAATTGTTTGTGATGGCTGATACGCTACAAGATATTTTAAAATACACTAATGATAAACACAAGAAAACATTCTATATGCACCAATAGTAACACTCAAAAATACATTTGTCATGACACTTCAGTATCTGAGCTAAAAGCCTTTAGAGCAGGGCCTTATCATCAGAAACGAAAGGGTTTATGGAGAAGTGACAGATGTGGCATTGAGATTTTTAGAACAATAATGACACTCAAGAGATTTGGTTTCCTTTAAAATTGCCTATGTTTTGATGACAAAAAGACCTGCCAAGGAAGAAAAAAAATCCAACAATTTGGCTGCTATTTGCTCATTTGTTGAAATCTTTGTTTGGAACTGTCAAGCATTACAACATCTGAATACATGACAGCTGATGAACAACTTACATCATTTCGTGGTTGTTGAAGCTTTCGGCATTATATGCCAGGTAGACCTTCCAAACAGGGTGTAAAAATACATGCCCTGGTAGACTCAGAGACATTTTACACCTTGAATTTAGAAATTTATCCTGGAACTCAGCCACCAGGTCTTTTTTTGTGCAGTAATAAACCAAAGACTTGGTGAACAGACTCATTGCACCTTTTTAAAAAAGTAACACAAATGTCACATTCTATGATTGGTTTACTAGTTACTCACTGATAGTACATTTGCTGAAAGAACCAGGTGACCAGTCTAGGAACTATTCACAAGAATAAAGCCAAGATTCCTGAAAAAGTGTTCCAAGTTCACAACAAAGAAACATATAGTACAATCACTGGATTTCAGAGAGACATAACACTGGCCTCCTATATGGCGAAGAGAAAAGAAGTAGTACTGAAAATGTCAACATTACACTGCGATGCTAAGACTGATGGTGAGGCTGGGCACAGTGGCGCATGCCTGTAATTCCAACACTGGGAAGACAGCGGCAGGAAGATCCTGTAAATTCAAGTTCAGCCTATGCCACATAGTGAGTACAAAGTTAGTCTGGACTAACTAGGGAGACTCTATCTCAAAACAAACAAACAAACAAATAAAAACAGATTGATAGAGAATCCTCAACACAAATGAAGCTGGATATGGTCACATTTTACAACAAAATGAAAGGCAGAGTAGATTTTGTTGATGAGTCGTGCAACGACTCTGATGCCATTGAAAACACAAAGTGTTGGCCAATGGTTGTGTCTGACTCGACATGTCAGGCATAAATGGTTGCTTAGTTTATAAAGAAAATAACAAGCAGAAAATATCATGGAGACATTTCCTTAGAGGACTGGGACTGGAGTTGATAAATGATCTGCCCAAAGAACTCCTCAGAAGAATTCTGGAGCAGACCGGTGAACAGACAGGTGAAACGTCACAAGACCTGCCTAAGAGGTCAACATGTCCCACCAAAGAAGACAGGAAAACAAAGCACATGTGCTGTCGTGCAAGCCACACTTGTGTATGGAACACATTATTCTCACGTGTGAAGACTGCCTTAGGTGTGATAACTGAACAAAGATTCTTATTCCTGTGCTAGAGTTTTGTTTGTAATTTCATTGTAGTTCATGCAGGAATTTATTTGTCATTTTTTAGATCTTGTAAACAGGTAAACAATTGAGGTTGAAAGTGTTGATGCTTACTCTACACACTCCTTACATGTTAAAATTTAGTGTTTTATTTTATTGATAAAATACTGTTAAGTATACATTGTTTAATATAACAAAACTCATAAAATTAATAATTAATCGATAGAAATATTCCTGAAAAATAAACATGGGTGTCATATCCCCCTATAACGCAGCTTTCTAAAAATTTGCTGTGATGTTTCCAGGGTTACCTCTAGGTTCCAAATTGTTATTCCTTTTTAAAAACATTGCCAATTTCCTATTATCTATCCCTTTTGTCTTCAATTTCTCCCCTCCATTTGTCCATTATTCATATATATGGCCATTATTCATATCTGAACTGAACTGATTTCCTATGGTGTGTATAATCGGGTTTTCTCAGTTACTCAATTTCTTAAACATGTTTTATGTCTTGTGGATGTTTAGTTTGCGGTCTAGGATAAAAGCAGGGATCATTTCTCCTTTACTTAGACAAATGATGAAATAAAATCTAGGTATCATCAGAAAACCTGTTTTCCTTTGGCAAATATGAATGTGAGAAAACGTAACAGAATAGCAGGGCTAAAGTAAATTCAGAATTTCAATATATGGAATTCAACTGATTATTTCAGAAAGTCAGATAATAAACTTCATTGAGAAATATATGAAATACTATGTATTTTTTAATGAACTCTGTGAGAAACCTGATTTTTAAATGTTTTAAAAATTAAACTTCATCCATGAATGTTACCTTCTGGAATCATCTGTGACATCATCAATGTCATTTCAATGTCAACGACAACTCAAGTCCTACGTACCTTAGATTCCATGCCTTCCCTTTCTTTTGCTATTTCTTTTTTCATCATCTCTTTGTCAGAGGCCCTTTTCTTTTGCTGAGATGAAAGTTCTTTTTCAAGTCGCTCTGTCTGTCTCTCTAGCTCATTCCTCAGCTGCTCACACTGGATTAAAGCCTGTCAGAATGAGAGTAAAATGGGAGTTTAGAAGGGAGGAAGAATAAGGGGAAAATGAGACATTGAGCTTTACTTTGACTTAAAATAGTTAAAACTCAGTGTAAAGACTTTTGTATTTGCTTATCCATGCCATTTACTGTAACCCATTGTTCTATTTGCTCATCTATTTCAAGGTTCACAGGTAAGGCTCTATTTATTGACTAACCAGCCAGAAAATTCAGGCAAGAGAGCTGGGGGCCATAGGTAAGTCAGATTTCGAAATGGTTCAGAAAAACCACCTGTTCTATTATTTTAATTACATATCATGTTAGTGCTATATAAAACATAGGAATTTTACTGATTTCTCATGGCCTCATAAATAAAGATTTGAAGACAGATAAGAATTTTTAAATAAGATGTTGAATACTGTGTTTTATTACACATAGGTTTCTATTGTTTAACACAAGTAAAGATTTATTAGCTATAAGATTCAGTTCATTCCTTTAAAACATATAACTAATATAAAAATTAGGTAATAATCAAAAGTTTAAATAAGGAAAGATTCCAATTCTGCGAAAAGTTCATAATTGTCATTTAGCATAAATTTCCCACTCTGCATTTCCAGAAATAAAAACTCTAATGTCTTTTTGGCCCCATTTACAATAATACTTTTACATATAATATAATGCCCAATAGTAAAATATGGCTTCAAAAATCATAATTTTTAAAAGTCCCACTAAAATGAAGGTGCTACAGTATCTTAGTCTTATCCCAGTCACTCTTAGCTATAATATCCACTTCACCAAACTTTTTTTTCCCACCAATTGGTAGAAGGCAACACAAGTCTGCTATGACTCACATAGTGTGACTGTAAGTTTCACAGTCACATTTTGGGTAAGGAGAGGAAACTGCTCTCACCAGATGCTTGTCTATGCATTGTTATACTCCCTCCCCCTTGTGAAAAGTAAAATAAGTACAGACAAAAATTTCTAGGATGTGTTAATTTTCCTTCATCTAGAAAGCAATAAACTTCAAAAAAAATTTTGGGTCTCTTCTGAAATTTTTCTATACTCCCAGGCACACATAAAGTAGAGGGTAAGATTCTATTGTGTCAAATTAACTTAAGAACCAAGATAGATTATGTAATGGTACAAATTTCCAATGATGAATGCCGGTATATTATACACCTAAAATGTACCAATAAATTTAATTAAAAAATAAATTCTAGTTGAGAATGCTTGGGAAAGGTAACTTTAAATTAGGATTTAAAAGAAATGAAAAGGCATAATTTTTCCATAAGTGAAGCCCTCAGGGCTTGAAATAGTATGAATCAGCAACTCTGGGGCTTCAAAATACAATTACTCTTGTAAAAAATATTTTATGTCAACCTGATAACTTTCACTGATATAATGAATACTGTTTGTATGATTACTGAATGCAAGCCAATGTATTCAATCTAAAGGTTTTCGACTGAACAAGAACTCAGGAATCAACACTGTTAAGTACAGGAATAGTAAAAGGCTGCCGAAGACATCAAAATCAGGCTCCAATGAAGAGCAGCTAAATAATCTATTCAAAGAAATTACTCAGTTCAGCAACAAAGAATAAATGATCTTGCTAGGATCAGAGGCCATTTTCCAAGAGAAGATGATTCTTCAGAAAGCACAAAGTGAGCCAGGTATGGTGGTATGCTCTGCAATCCCAGCACTCCAGGAAGCTGAGGCAGGAAAACGGCAAGTTTGAGCCCAGTTTGGGCAACTCAATGACTTACGGAGGAGACTATGCTTCAAAATAAAAATGAAAAAGAGCTGAAGTAGCTCAGTGTGAGGGCCCTGTCTCAAAAGTTAACAAAATAAAAAAAACTAGGTTAATAACTGGTTATTGATGTCTCTTTATGTGTAACCACTGAATCCATATTTTTTTTCACTTTTTTGGAGGTCCTAAGGGTTGAACTCAGGGTCTTCGCACTGAGTTATATTCCCAGTCAGCCAGTTGGCTCTTTATTTATAGATTTGAGGTAGGGACACAGGATCTCCTTAAAAATAGCTAAGCTGCCCAGGCTGGGCTACAACTTGTGATCCTCCTGCCTCAGCTTCCCAGAATTCTGGGATTACAGGTGCGCACCATAATCCTAGTGACTTTTCACTGTACTTCTATTTGCTTTAATTTTAATCCACATTTACATCTGCTCAAAATGAAGAAAATATTAAGGATTGGTAATAATTGGAAACAGAAAATTGATTTACCCTTTCTAAAAATCTCTCTCTTATAATGAACCTCACTAGAAGATCTGGGCCTTAGAACCAAGAATTTATACACTATTAGCACTAGTGTTTTCCCTTTTCATTAATACAGGGCTCCCTCCTTTATTTTCCAAGAATCCCAGCTGAGTGTTCCCCTCCTGCATTGTGCTCAACTTAGCCATCGCAAAAGGCATAAGGACTGAGTTCTCAGAGACGAGGCTATTGAATGGTCCACTGTAATGCGATGACATCTTGTTAGATGGCCAAGTCAGTGGGCCTGCACTGCATTTCTCCCAGAAGTTCTGGGGATAGTGGCTCCTCCCATTCCCTTGATCAGAATGGCTACAGATCTAAGGAGATGGGAAATTATACTTTCTCCCACTTGCTGATTCAATCTGCAAAGGACCATTTCTTTTCTGGGAAATTTTATTATTTGTGATTGTTTTGTGCCGGCCCGATCAACACCTGCTTCAGAACATAATTCATTGGACTTGATATTCCTTGTCCTATTTTTACTAAACCAAAATGTATGGCTTACTTTATCAAAAGACCCAAAAAAAACTATCCCCGATAAAATTTCTATGTGGTCAACTTAATTTTTAAATGGAAAACTTACCTTAAGACATACAAATAAAAATCCTTCCAATTGCTAAGGTTGCTTTCACAGAAATGCTAGTACTAGTGATAGAAGAATTTGTGACTAAAGAATTAGATATGAGAAAAACATAGTTACCTATGAACATAAACTTTAGAACTTATGAACGGGTTTTATCTTTATGAAATAAAGTGCATAAGATGATTATCAACACATTTAAGCATGATGAATTCAAATTATTGACTGTGATTTTTTGTTTTAATTTTAAAAATATTTATTAGTACATGTGTGTAGTACATAATGATTGCATACATCGTGGGGAGTTGGTATGTGTGTATAACATATTTTTATTACTTTTACTCCCCCTCTGATTGTAATCTATAAACACCTGCTTAACAGAAGCTTGTTATTCTACGTCTATCTCCTATTTTCAAGAAACGGTCATGCTGCACTCCAGAAATGCATCATTAGGCAACTTCATCAGGCAAACAATACACTTCCATAACCCTAGATGGCATAGGTGAACTATCTGATGTTTCCTCTCGACGCAATCAAGAGGTGCATTAAATTTAAAATGTATAAAGCTGCTGCTAGTGTAATGTAGCATACTGTTTTACAGTAAACTTTTTTATAAATAGAAAGAATACAGTCCAAACTAGTGGAAAATAGTAAATACATAAATCAGTAACACACAATCATTTATTATCATTATCAAGTGTTATGTTTTAAACCTAATTGCATGTGCTATACATTTTTACACAAATGGAAGCCCAGAAGACTTTATTGCATCAACATTACCAAAAATATGGGAGTAATTTGTTGCACTATGATGTTAATAAGGCTAAAATGTCACTAGGTGATAGGAAATTTTCAGCTGTTACCTTAAGCAAGGTGCCACAGTTATATATACACTCTGTCCCTGATCAAAACAGTGTTATGAAGCCCATAACTGTATTGATAATTTTTTCTATTTTGCAGCAGATCATATGCATGCCAAGGAGCAGTATTTTCTATGCCTGTGGCTACAATTAAATGCTCATGCTTTTCTGATTTTCTTTCTACTTTACATTTCTAATTCCTGACTCTCTGATTCTACTGCTATCCAAAAAGCAGAATAATATGGATACTTGGAAAGGGTAAAAATAGTTTTTGGAAGCATTTATCCAACCTATCAGGTTGGAATTTTGAAAAACGCCTTTCCTTAGAGGGTTAACTCATTAGAATATGCTCGCCCCAAGTCCCTCCAAGGCATGTGACTTCAGGCCTGCCAAGTCACCTCAACAATTCTCCTTCCAAGACATGCAGGCAGGTGTGAGGCCTACTAACCTTTACCAACTTGTCACCCCTACTATTCCACTCTCAAGTATCCCCAGGTTAATTTATTTTGGTGTCTTAAAATTACCTGGAGTTGTACTAACTCACAATTTTCAAATAAAACATTCACTGAAAAGTTACTATGTATCAGGTACTTTGCCAAGTGTCTTAGAAGGACTCATTTAATCAACTCCATAAGTAAATTTATAAATTTTAAGTGGTTCTAACTCAGTTGAAAAAACTTGGACTTTGAAACTTTAAATAATTTGTCCTAGTCACAGGTTTAGAAGTGGAAGACTAGAGATTTGATCCAAAGTAGTTCCATAACAGAATTCATGAGTGGCACTGTAATCTTCTCATCTTATGTACTTATTTTCTTATAAGAATCCTTAGGCATTTGCACTGTACTATATACAGTTTGCACTAAACACACAATGTAATATAAAATACCTGCTTAGCGTCCAATACACAGATTGAACACTAGATGGCAACAAATGCCAAGAAATGAAAGAACAAAGAATTTCCTAGTAGTAAAAGTTGTAGTTGGTTTTCAAATTAAAATAGCAGTACTCTGACATTTTAATACTCTCTGAAAACAAAATTCACATCTTCTAGATAAAAAATACTGAACTTGCATTACATTTTGAAAGTGCTTAGTAATTCTTGTTACTGAATTCAGGGAAAAATGATTAGATTCATAATACACAATGCCTTTGTGTTCCTGTTAATTTTAAAATGAATTAATTATAGAAGTTTGTTGTACTGCAAGAAGGGAGCTTCCTGCATATGGAGATTTATAATTCAGAAGCCTAAGGCAGCAATGTAAAATATGTGGAAGAAACCAATCACAATGCTGTTGCATATAAAGACTTGAGCTACGCTGGGTTTCCCTGGGATACCATTTACTCAGAAGGCTGGGGCAGGAGAATCACAAGTTTGATGCCAGCCCAGGCAACTTAGTGAGACTCTGCCTGAAAATAAAAGCAAAAAGGGCTGAGGTGTAGCTCAGTGGCAGAGTATTTATGCAGTATGTATGAGACCCTAGATCCAATCTCTAGTAACACACACACACACACACACACACACACACACACACACACGATTTGCCAGGGCAGGGGTACAAGAATGGAAAGGCAGGAACAGTTAAACTGGGGACTCAAAGGGATCAAAGGTTGGCAAATGACTGGATGTCAAGAGTAAGAATGACGGGGCCAGGGATGTAGTTCAGTGGTTCTGCCACCTGCCTTGCAAGCGCAAGTTTGATCCTCAGTACCAAAAAAAAAAGTAAGGATGAGGGGAAGCCAAAATACTTTAATGAATGTAATCTAGGGCTCTTGGTAAGATGGTTACACCATTATTTGAAAACAATAATGCAGAAGAGTGGAGGGAAAAGAAGGGGTAGACAGGAAGGTGGAACAAATTAGTAACTTGGTTGCGTAGTAGATGCCAGTAGCGTATCATCCACATAAGGAGTCTAGTAGCAACAAGAAATGTAGGTCTGGGGCTCAGGAGAACAGTAAGATAAAAGCATAAGGAGGGGATGTTCAAATATAAATACAGGTTTGGTTATGGGACGAGGTAAAAATTCCAGGAAATCAAGGCAACATGGGCAGAAGGCGAGGAAGTAGCTCTGAGGAATGTCCATACTGAATGAAGGGTTGGGGAAAGCCAGTCAAACCAGGAGAGTAGACAAGAACCACACAGAATGATCCAGAAGAGTAAAGTATCAGTTGTATCAAAGGGAAAGATGCTAGGCTGTGTTATGACAGGACAGTTAATGACTGCCAAAACTACATATAGGGCTGGAGCAGAAAGGACTGAGATAATGTCCCTGGATTTGGTATCAGAAAGTGCCCAGTGACCATTAAGTGAGAGATTCAGCAGCATGAAAGTTTGCTGTTTGTTGAAAACCTGACTGGAATGTGATCAGAAGTGGAAGGAAAGCTACCAGGACAGATAACTGTAAGGTCCGCTAGTGAACTGATGGACGAAGGTAGGAATCAGTGGGCGGGATCATGTGAAGCCTGCTTTTTGTTTTAGGGATAGCAGTTATAGAGACAACTGGGAGTGGGGCAGGGGTGAAGGAGGAAGGGGGATGAGGAATGAAGTAGTTGATGCAAGTGCGTAAGGGTCCTGAGACCCTACAAGCAAGTGACATGAAAAGCTTAGAGAAAGAGATTCATCTTGGGAAAGAGTAAGGCCAGAAACAAAGAAAAATGAGTGGAAGTGACATTGAAGAGCTCAGAAGACGCTGAGGTGGATCATCTGTTGAGAGTGAGGTGCTAGGGCTGGAGGTGGCAAAGTAAGGAAGTGGACCATATAGTGGAGTCAAGTGCAGAGAAAGAAATGATCAAGCAGCTCTTATGACTGCGTTCTGAAGTCTACCGCTATTCCTCTGCAGTGAAACTAGTTGTTCGCTCTCTTAAATTCAGCAATGGTTGGTAGGCTGAAAACAGCATTAGAAAAAGACTCATGTGCAACTGAGAATAACGTCCTCTAGCAACTGGCAAAGCAGGTAAACTGGAAAGGTAAGTCTAAAGGAATTTTAGCATGCTAGTGAGAACAGGGTCGAGTTCCTCAGTGGATATTACCAAGTCCCTACGATGTGTTGAGCACTATGAAGATGCTAGCAATGTAACGGTGATCAAGGTGGGTTGATTTCTTATTTGTTAGAGATCTCAAAGTTTAATGAAGGATACAGACAAATAGGTAATAATGAAGGAGATTAATTAATGAAGGATAAGACAAATAAGCAATAATAATAATAAATGTTGCACTAAGAAGTAGTTCACAGCTAGGCAAGAAAAGTATTACAAAAAAAAAGTCAAGAAAATTTCCGAAACAAAGACTTGCACTTAGTGACTTATTGGAAGCTAAGGCTGGAGGCCAGAATGACATCCAGTTTCCTAGTCAGGATATTATAGAGGATAAGGGTACCATTCACTGGCTTAGAGAACACAGAAAGAGCAGCAGAACTGGGGGTGTGGGTGAATATGAGGAATTCTATTTGAGATTATAAAATTCATATTTAAGTGAGAAGGGAAGAAGACCAAACCTAACACTAAGGAAAAAAACTGAGAGGTCTAAAGGGAAGAGGCTGGAGAACCAGAGGCAGGAATGAGGACATGGAGCAGATTTAACTGGGATGGGAAGGGAAGAAGAAAGCTTTGGTTAGAGAGTGATTTCAGAATTTGAGATCCTAGGGACACTTCTGTGGGAGTCACAGTAGCACAAGGAGAAAACATTAGAGTTACAGAGGCTGAAAGGGGTGGGGCTGCACTTAGTAACAACATGGATGTTGAAACCTTTAAGGATGATGAAAGGAGACAGGATGGAGAGGACAGACTCAGATGCTTAAGCTCTTAACGTGTGTCAGAGTGTTTTCTAGATGGGGACTTTCTGTTGAGATGAGCGAGAACAGAGACTCACTGATTTCAAAATAGAAGTGGTAACCAAATTTCAAAGAGGAACACTAACCAAAAGCAAGTGCCAAAACAAAGGCCTGGAAATGGCAGTTAAGAGAGAAGTAAATGTTAACTCCTCTATCGTAGCCACATGAGATGAGATGAATTTCAGAAAGGGCCTTTGCTAGAAGTTTTTGAGAGTCAGAATATCATCAGAGGATGGTGACAGTTCAGAACAACTGAGGAAATATACGAGGGAGGTGGATCAGACTGAAGGAGGAGTGGATTCAGATTTGGAGTACTTCAGATTAGGGAATCTCAACCAGTACACCCTACCCAATACAACTTTTGAATGATGAAAATATTCTCTGTTTGTACTGTTACTATGGTAATCACTGGCTACCTATGGCTATTGAAGTATGGTCCTCGTGTTTAATAAAAATGCAACTTGGATAGCTTACCAGTGGGGCAAACCTATGGCACGCATACTGAAGTGGGCCGTTTGTATGACTGAAAGCTCTAAAAGGTTCGCCATCACTTGTTTAAGCTACATCCTCAAACACAGCAATGAATCAAGAGTAACCTCCTAGTATTCAAAGTTCCTGAAACCCAGAACAGCATCTGATCATTGGCGCTGACTGCTGTTGTCCTTATCATCATGAAACACGTTTGACTTAGCTTACAACGGATCCAAACTCACAGTTAAATGTTACTAAATACATGTATATTACCATGTTTGGAATATGCAGATGTTCTAAAAATTTCCCAGATATAGAAATTGTCTTTAGTCATACATAAACATATACAAATGATTTACTATGTGTTATTTACTAAGTGTTAAGATGCTCATAGCATTGATTTGTTTGTTTGTTTGTTTTTGGTACCAGGGATCAAACTTGGGTCCTTGTACTTGTGAGGCAGGTGGCAACACCACTGAGCTAAATCCCCAGTCCTAGCATTGAAAAAATACCAAATGAAAAGATAAAAATAGGAGGCATACAAGTCTCTCAAAGTATTTTATCATATTGTACTACAATCTTTAAATCGTAAAACAGAATATTTGCAGAGAAATAAGAATTCTCCAAATAGCAAATTTGTTCAATGTAGAAAAATCAACATTAACATACTGATATTTTCCTTGTGTGTTTGGGAAAAGCTTAGTTATGGAAGAAAAACCACAGAAATGCTCAGAAGAAAAAAATGACCGGTCCTGCAATGCCTTTATGTTCATCCTATTAGACTTGCCTTGGTCTTTTCAAAGTTGGCTTCCTCGGTCATATGCACAGCTTCTTTGACCTGTTCATAAGCACTTGTTTCTCTCTGCTGCATATCTGCCAAGCTGCTCCTTACAGAAATGAGTGCAGACATTAAGTCATCTCTTTCCCTGTCAGCACAAAAGGAACATTCAAAATAAGAAATGATCAAATGATCCCCTACTCCTAAGTCGGGGGGAAGCATTAGCACATTGAGAAGACCCAGCGTGGGCCAGCTCAGCACACAGCGAAGCTCAGCCCGGAGAATGGCCCTCTGTCCTCACGTGGCGCACGCCAGGCCAGGCAGCCAGAAAGGCTGAGAGCATTCGTGGCAGGACAGTGTCTGCAAGGGACAATAACCGACTGTGGGAAGGGCTGGCAAGCTGAGGGCTGCTAGTGGAGCCTGAAAAAGAGCAAGTTAGTTAGAAGAAGGGAGACCCAGAAAGCTGAAGAGGAAAAAGGCATCAGAGTGATAGACATTATTATATCTTAAAGCAGAAAGCGACACTTCTAAGAGGGGATAAGTAAAAGGCAAAAGACTGTATGTCCTCTGAAGAGAAACAAACTCTGGTTTCATTAAAAAAAAAAAAAGAGGGCAAAGAAGAGAAGGAACAGGAGGAAGAAGAAGAAGAGGAGGTGGAAAAAGAGGAGGAAGTAGAAGAGGGGAAACAACCAAGGCTTTGTTTACACCACTGATTTTTCTCTTTTATTTAAACAAATATATGCCCTTCCTTGCCATCTTCCTCCACAATCCTCTTTTACATCCTTCTCTTTCAATTAAATTATATCACTTATTTATGAACACATTCCTTCCTTTCAAAGGGTAGTACTGTTGAAACCTCCAACCTCCTGGTTATGCATATTAATACTCACAATTTAACAAAACCTTATCCCACTGGGTTTGGTCACTGCCAAGCAGCAAAAATCCCCGAAGCTAAACTGTTCATTGGGGAAGAAGGGAACAGAATGCCAAAATGATTTGGCACATAAAATAGTAAGGATCCAATCCCATGGGTTAAATAAATCCCATATAAAATTTCCAAGATATTTGGCATTTATCAGCTGGATAAAAATATAGAGTAGACCAAAGAAAAGTGAGGTGGGAACTTTGTATATACCCAAAACCAAAGGGGGGAAAAAAAGGATGTTGGGCTGTTGCATATGCTATTCTATGCTTTATCAAACAGCTCAAGTTTTGCACTGTTTCAAATTCAGTTGGAATAAATGCTTGCAGTTCCCTTTTCACTGCCAAATTCTAAACTATTAGAAAATAGCCAGCTGTGATTTCTTTTAATTTAGTGAACTTTGAAGATTCATATTTTAGACAATTATAAATGCTGAACTGGAATGAATCAGTGACTCCATTTTAAAAAATCTTAAAGGTAAAATAATTTGAACTATTCGTGTTATTTGGAAAGCAATCATATTTTAAGAAAAGTAGTGCTGAACAAAGTTACAATTATAAGCAGTTTCATAAAGCTCTTTTTGTTAAAAAATGAATAAATTGCTACAAGCATAAAATTCATGGAATTATGATGATCTCCACTTTAGAAATTCTTGGTACAAAAATGATTGAAATTGTTTAATTTTTATTCTAAAGGAAATAAAAAAAGGAATAAATTACTTTCAGTACAATCAAGCACAATAATTATGGAAAAAGTGGGAAAACCAAAGCAAAATGAAATTATTTTACTTAAGTAAAACATAAATTCAATGCAAACAAATTGAATTTATATTTATTCTCATTTCCAAAAAAAAATCCACATAACATTCTTTTCCATTCCTGGTACCATGTTGTCATAAAGCCCAAGTTTTAAATAAAAAGAATGGATAAAATAGCTCAGTGTTTCTAAGTATGCTAACAGACAGATCAGAACAGGTTGAAATCTACCAGGTTTGCTTCTCAGGGGAGATTTATGTTTAAGACATTTAATCTCTTTCCAGGATAGTCTCCTATCAGGAGGAGCATCTGTCACACAGTAAATGCTCAATGTAATAAAAGACAAAAGGACAAGTGCATGAATTAAGAAATCCATAACAACTGGGCATCAAAAAATGAGGTAAAGCTCCTTCCCAGTTCTAATATTTTAGGATTGAAATTGAAAAGGTCATCTAATGATTTAGAATTGGAAAGGAATAAGTTTAGTTGCTCTAGTTAAAAAGGTTTCAGAATATAAACTCGTTGACTTTACACTGTTGAGTTACAGAAAATCAATAAGCTCTGAAATACATCAATAGACTCATCATTTAACAGTATGTCAAAGGATTATACTAAACATCTGTGCAACCACTGGATCACTACACGGTGGTTGCTTTTGTTTGTTTGTTTTCTTTTGTTTTAATTCACCCAGCTCATATACCAAATAGTAAGCACTCAAAAACATAAGGAGCTCTGGGTCAACAGCCCCCTCTCATCAACACAATGCCTAGCTCTGGATCCAGTCCCATGTTCATCTGACTGTCACTTTCTTGATTCATCTCCCACTTTTCAGCCCCACACTTGTCCTAGGATCTAACAGTGTTACTGGTGATCTGCTCTTCAGAAATGGCTGACTACCCTGCTACCCCCAGCCAGGATGATTCCCCAGTCAGTTTCAGTCCTGCTCCAGAGCTCCCAGGGCCACAGGGCCAGCCGACAGCCAGGCCGAAGGGGACTCTCAGAAGAGGCAGTTGCATAGATCACATGATATGTCAATGTGAAAGTGAGAAGGAAGTCCTCTAGATTACCATCTGCTAAGGCAAAAGTTCTTCCCGTGCTTAAAAACATCACATGAATGTTCTGAGGAATGTGATCAAGAAGATTCTACAGCAGAGCAAGCAACACAGTATTAACCACTCTGCATCTACGAACTTCATGAAAGGCAGCTGAGCAGACAGACGATGTAAAGAGCATGAGTGTCAGTTCTATGGCAGAAAAGCATGTACTTACACAAACAAGCATGGACTATTTAAGGAATTTAAGGGAACAATTAGAGCAGGAAAAAGCCTGAAAGAATTTCTTAATTAAAAAAAATTTTTCTTAATAATCTCAGTCAAATATTTAAAAATAATCAGAAAATTGGCCTGATATATGAGTTTTATACTGAAATATGAAGTTTTTCCTACAAAATGCTTTATAAGTCCTAAATTAGTCCAACACGTTATCAATTTTAAATATTACTAAACATCATTAATAAGTATGATCACTACTGTTTTTTAAAAAAAAAAGTCTGGAAAGCTGACTACAACATTTCTTTGTTCCTCATTTCTGGGAAGTTCCCCATATGGTCTTTTCAAAGCCAACTATAGAGAACACTGCCAGTGATCTGCTCCCAAATCACAAGCTGGCCTAAAGTCCCAGGATAGTTCTGTGGTAATTATTTCTCCTTTAAAAAAATACACTGAATCTTCTCCAAGGAATTTTGAGCTACAGAAAGGAATTTAATATAAAGCTGTTCCATCTTGATTAACACTGAAAGTATTTGACCAGCAAGCAAAGAATAAAGAAAGCAGGGTTACTCTTACTTTTACCTCCCTCATGGCATAAAGAGGTCTGAAAGAAAGGCAGAAGTTCAGAAACACTAGGAAGGCTCCAAATCAACTTGAAAAATGTATCAAATGTCATCAACAGTCATTAAGTATACTTGCCAAAACATTCTTGAGGTCCTAACAAAATACCGCAAATACATGGGTGGTCTGAGCTCCAAATTATGCCTGACCCCCTTCATGTCAACTGCACAGATCATTCTTATGTGGCAGAATCAAAACAGTGCATGCTAAGAAAAAGGGCTATGTGGGGGGAGAAAATGAGGAATAGAAATGACCAAAGTATATTATACACATGTGTATGTCAAAAGAAAACCCATTGTAATGAACACACACTGATTAAAAATAGTACAGCTTAGAGCTGGTGTTACAATATCACATTTCCAACAGTGGCCAGTAAACTTGATTTACCTTATTTAGGGCACAATTTTTTAATCTCGTTAAAATCATGCAGTAAATATTGTGATAACAGATTACTGAGAGGTTGGGCTCTCGACTGCACAAAATTAGAAATTCAACCTACAAAGTTTTGGCCACTCTACGAAGTCAACATGGCACTCGATAGTCAACATTTTGCAATTAACATATTGGGAGAAGCTGAAGGCTAGCTTAGGCCAAGGGAATGATAAAGACAAAAAAAAAATTATGAAAATCAAAGCAGAAAACTTTCATTCTATTCTGTTATTAAAGCCCAACACGAGACAATGATATGCTGACAAAGCAACAAACTGAACTAAGTAGGTTGACATTAACTTTAAGAGGCTGAGATCAAATTTAGGATAGAGACAAAGGAATACATAACTGAGCAAGAATCCAATTTCTAAATGACTGCCAGACTTGGAACCAATATAAACATTGTAGCTTCCTTTTAAAATATTTTTCTCATGACCTAGAGGGTTAGATAATATGACAGGCAATATAGTACTGGGAAGAAACCCTGTTTTATATTTGTTGGTTGGTTTTCCTGGACTAGTTTTAAACTCTGCCTCGTTTTGTCTGAGTAACATGCAATATGCTTTTTCCTTAAAATTTCTTTCACTATATTGTCCTTGCAAAATTAGTTACCAATATGGTTAAAGACTGATTTCAAACAAACTCAATTTCAATTTCTCTTTCTACCTCTCCAGCAGTAATCACTGTTAAACATACGGTGTCTACTCTTTTAAATCTTTTTTCTATACATTAGTATGAAACTAGAGAAAATATGCTGCCTGGCTGCAAATGGCCTTAGAAAATACAAATGGCTTTATCTTTAGCTGTTTTATTTTATTTCAATAATGTATTTTGGAGTTAGTCCCATAAATCTACTTAAATTCTTTTTTTTTTTTTTTTACACTGGACACAACATATGACAGTTCATTCAAACCATAGCTTAGTTACTCTCCTTGGAAGATATTTAGGTTGTTCAGGCCATTACAAGCAGTGCTGCAAAAAAGCACTCCCTGGAAGGGTCTCTTTATACATGCGCATGAGTTTTTTTCTCTGTCACAGATTTTGAAAAGTATACTGCATAATTTAACTATTAAATGGGTAGTGCTAAATTACCCTGCAAGGTAGGCATACCAATTTATATTTCCACTAGCAGGGTAGGAGAATACTCACTTACTTATGACCTTACACCTCCTGAAACTACTGATGTTCTTTAATTTCACCACTCTGATGGGTTTTTTTCTGAGACTGAATTTCCTTAAATACTAACAGAATGAATACCTTCTCGGGTACTGACATCTTGGTCACCAATTCTTTCTCCATACTGTACAACTGGGCATTTTGTCATTTTTTGTTGTTTCAAAGGAAATTCTTTACATTTTCACTAATATTTTGTTATGTGTGGAAAACATTTCTCCCAGACTCTTCATTTAATTTGAAATATTTTGTCATAATGGATTTATTTATTTTTAATTAGTTTTTTACTTTTGCAAGGTTAGGGATGCAACCCAAGGCCTTGTACATGCTAGGTAAACACTCTACTATTCACTTATATCCCCAGCCCAAGAATTTGTTCTTTAATGGAGTCAAATGTGTCATTTTTTTCCCTTTATAATTTTCACTTTTCATGTCATGCTTGGGACTATAACAGGCTCAAGGATATTAACATGATCTTCTACATTTACTTGTACTTCTTTTATACTCTGAATTATATTTGACTCTCTGAACTATCTTGAATTTATTTTCATAAGGTACAATTCTATTCTCTTTCTTAAAATATAAACAGGAAATTTTTTCACTTATCTGAGCCTGTTTCCCTAGCTATAATGTGGGGGTGATAATACATCAAAAAATAATATATTAAGAGATTATGATTTTAAATTGCCTGGCACAACCCTTGCCAAATAATAAGTGTTCACTACATGTTATGTATATATGAAAATGTATTTAGTATAGTTAATGGTTATACTAAATATATAGGAATACAGTAATTTAGTAATAGTTAACAATATCATATTTAACAAAAAACAAAACCATCTGTGCAGATTATAAAAAAATACCAGCTAGTCCATACTGGAGACTCAGTTTTTAATATAGCACCCAGCAGGTTAGCTACATGTGGAAACCAAGATACACTAAATGGTCTTGTACTTTAGAAGGTACTGAGGCATTTTAGTATTTACTGAGTAGCTAACAAAGGTCAGGAAGTATTTTAAGCACTATATTCCTTAGAGAGTCCTCAAAATATCCTATTAGGTACTTTTATTACCATTTATTTATTTATTTGTTTATTTATTTGAGGCACAGTCTTGCTACGTAGTTCAGGCTGGTCTTGAACTTACTATGTAGTCCAGGCTGGCCTCAAACCCACGGTGATACTCCTGCCTCAGGCTCCCGGGTGCTGGGATTACAGGCATACACCACCTGGCTCTGTTACTATTTTTAAAATGAGGAAATTAAGGCACAAACAGAAACACTTAGTGTCTACTGCAGGCCAGGCTAGAAACCAGGGCTGCAGAAATAAACAAAATATAGTTGCTAGAAAAGGATCTAATCTGTGGGGACAAAATGCAGTAGTATTTACTGGAAATACTTCCAAAAGGAAAAGATATGTGTGCTACTGACATGAGCACAGCAGAAAGAGGTGATCTTAAACATGGACAAAAAGTAGAAGAGTATAAAAAAGCACATACTCCAAAAAATTATTGGATGCTATAATAACAATTCTCAAGTTCCACTAAATAACTTTTACAGGAAAAGGCTTCTTATGGAACAGTGAAAATGGAACAAAAATGATGTACATAGGGCTGGAGATTTAGCTTAGTAGTTCCACCCCTGCCTTGCAAGCACAAGGACCAGAGTTCAATCCCTGGTACCCACCCCCCCAAAAAAAAGATGTACAGAGAATTGTAGTATTTCAGCCTAGATGAAAACTTTGACAACCTACATGCTGGAGTGTAATCAGTCCTTAGTCAACTCTCCAATATCACTACCGTGCTGCAGCGGATGTTTCCTCCACCATGCTCACCACGTATTTCACAACAGGCAGTGAGGAAGACCAGGTAACAACTCTACCTACACTATGACAGGGAAACCCACGCAAAACCAAAGAAATTCATACCACATTTGATTTTATTAAGAATAGTGCTAGACTGATAATTATAGGGTCATAGAACTAAACAAAATTGTAAAGGGCATCTAATCAAATTCTTTTACTTCAAGATGAGAATGAAACCAAGAAATAAAATTATTTGTCCAAAGTGACACAGTTACTCACACAATTGGCCAAACCTACCCATTCTTTCTTCAGAAAAGCTACAACCAAGGAACCTTTAAAATCTACTTTATTTGAAACGTGACATGTCACATGTGATTTAGCATGAGGATAAAGAACATGTGCCCTTTAAAGACATAATTTTCTATGCTGCCGAAGGCTCTGCACAGAGAAGCATACTTACTTAGTCAGTCTTTCGATGGTCTGGATGTGCACATTATTATGGGTTTGGGAAAGAACAGCTTCATGCTGAGCACACTTCAAACAAAGACCACCAACACGGTTGGAGACATTAGTAGCAAGAAGAGACTCTTTATGTTTTAATTGCTGTTTAAGATGTTCACAGTCTTTCTGATATTCAGCTAAGTCTCTCCTAAATGAGAGAAAAATATGAAATCATCAAATAAAAGTATACTACTTTCAAATGAATCATCATAGCAAATTAGTACTATCATTTATGGATGTCTAACTTGCTCCATCTACATTATTATAATACCTTACTAATTTTTACCACAACCCTGAAATGCAGGAGTGGTTATCTTAATTGACACATTGAATATAATGAGATTTGAATATATTTAATTATTAATTCAGGTTCTTGTAGAACTTTAAAACAGATTAGACTCTTTCCTCTAATAGGATCCTACCTCATTAGTACACTGCCCACAAAACAAAAATAAATCCTGAACAGTTCTTTTAATAAAGGTGTGGGGTAACACAATACAGCATCACTGAAGTGAGAGAAATACCCTATTTCAGGTGATAACCCCATAAAATGTATAGAGGATACCTAAAGTTCACATAAAGAGCATGGATTCTACCTGTGACTCATTTAGAATTTCCCATTTTTAGGAGGAGAGCATTAAAAATTACATAAACAGAAAATTCTGCAGAATTTTTTCAAAAGAAGGTAGGCTATAGAAGGAAGTGAAATATAATTTGCCAGTCATTTCAAAAGAAGCAGGTATTAGTTGGGAGTATTCAGGTTGCTAAAGAAAGGGCTGAGAGAAAATGGTTGGAGTGTGTGTGTGTGTGTGTGTGTGTGTGTGTGTGTGTGTTGTGTGTGTGTTTAATGTTCTGGGTTCACTCTAGATGAAATTTTTCTCCAAATTGACTTTTTTAGAATTCAGTGACCAATATATGGGTTGCATTTTCCTCCTTCACACTAATGCTTTCCTAAAGTCAACTTGAGCCACTGAGCTTTTCTGCCTAGATGCCCCTTTTCTACTATAAGTTTGTGTATACACACACACACACACACACACACACACACATTTTTTCAAGACAGGGTCTTGTTATGTCACCCGGGCTAGCCTTGAACTTGCAATTCTCCCACCACAGCCAGCCTCTGAGTAGCTGGGATTACAGGTGTGTGTCTCCATGTCTGGTTCCTATTGTATAATTTTTAAAAAACAAACTCCCTACCCCAAAAAGGAGACAATACTAAAACTTATTAAGCCATGGAACGTAGCTACTTTATGTCACTCTGTCTACTCTTTGTTTTCAACTTTTCTATGCTCGTAAGACTACAACTATTTTAACTTACTCCGAAAGCCACAAAACCAAACACTTGGCTGTCAGACACTTTTAAACTCCTGGTGTTTTGGGGGCTTTTTAACAACACAGGGCAGATGGAAAAGACCTTCAGACAATCTAAGGGTTAACAAAAGCTAATAATCTAATGATGGTCTAAAGTGTGTGGGGAGGCTGTTTTTACCCTGACTCCAAGATAGCATCTCTAACATAGTTAAGTTTTCTTTGCAGTATCATGTAGACAAAGTCTGACTTTCAAAGGCTCTATAAAAAGAAATTTGGAAGCACATTCCAAAGCCTAAGTGTCCCATTATTAATTTCTTTCAGGTTCAGGCTCAAAACACATAAGCAGATTTAGTTTACTAGAAATAGCAAAAAAGAAAAATTAAAAGAAATAGCTACCTTATAGCCAGAGTTTCTGAATAGTAATTTTATTACTTTCTTTAAGAAAATGCTTATTTAATTTTAAATCATACTCAAAAACAAGGAAAGAAACAGAAGAATGTGGAGAACAAAGTCTAATTCATTGCAAGTTGATATTTTAATGTATTAAAGATGCATAATTGAATTCTGAATGAGATTTAATAAGTCACATTCTCATAAGTATAATGACCTAGAAATATATTACTTCAAAAACTGAATGAGGTAACAATAGATATTAAAATCAAAGGTAAAAAAGCAAGAAAGCAAAAATTAGACTATTTTTTAAATGTTAGGCTTCTTAACCAAAAGTAAAGCTCTACAGAAACCCTAAAACTCATCAGAGTAAGCTATGAAAGGCATAAGGACTTCAAAGTAAATGAATAATAGATACAGTGACAGCCATGAGTTCTGGTTCTTTGTATTGCTCTAGTCATGTCTGATTAGTGTATGGGTTAGAAGAATTTAAATCTTGTTTCAGTTTAGACTTATTAAAATAAAATTCCAAAAAACACTTTAAATTTTATTTGACTTGAAAATACTTTATGACCAGTATCTTAAAATCCTCTTTAAAAAATTAATACCCAATGTCATTTTCTAGTCATCATACATAAATCATTAACCTAAAATAGTAAGTTTTATTGGGATCTGTAACATAAAGGCTACAAAAAGGTATGTGAACATTCATCATATATGTACATTCAAATTCATCATGTATATAAATATTTAAAGTATTATAAATACACAAAGAATACAGAGAAAAAAGGTTTGCTATTCCAAAACTAGATTTTTATTTTCACTATTTTAACTACAAAAGCAAAATCATAAGTATAGCTAGTAATCCTTATTTCTGAGAACATACAAGTATAAGTGAAGGAATAGATTTTACAATTTAGCTCACAGAAATGAGATTTAGAAAAGGATTCACAATTTTATGCTTTTCAACCGTCAATAATCTGAAGAAAATTTTATGTTGCACATAAAATGCTATCAAGTAATTCTAATATTGAGTAATACTGGGAGTTCCTCAAATTTTCAAGTATCTTTTAAGACCATTATGCTTTTGCTGTGGCTATAAATAGATGATTTCATTTTACCTCAAAAATGTCAGTTGAGAATCAAGGATTTCACTTTTTGCCTCATATGTAAGTTTTAGCCTCTCCTGTAAAACAGAAAAAAAAGACCAGTTTATTTATGTGCTGTGTTTTATTAGCAAATTTTAATTATTAATATTAAATTCATTAAATATTAGTATTAAACTCAATAGTAAACTTTTTTCCTTTTTACTAACAAATGTTTTCTCTTAGGAAACACAATCTCACCCCCAATTTGCTATTTTTACTGGGTAAATACCTATTACAACTACTGAGTCATAAAAAGGTCATTACTGACAAATGTTTTTCTGTCAAAATTGCATACATTGAGTCTTAACCTTGAAAGTGTGACTCCAGGGAAAACCAGTTGTAACCTATTAGGTCCACAAAGGCAAAGTTCAAATCCCTCATTGTGCCTGCAGCATGTTTGACACAATAAATATGTGCTGAATAAGTAATAAAAAGTAGTTATAAATTACATCACGGTACACCAAAATAGTATACTATCTACTAGCCTCTGGTCTTCATTTGTTCTTTTATTTAACCAACGTGTATTGGGTATCTAAGTTGAGGGAGCCCCAAAGCTCAAGAAGCTTATATTTTAGGAAGAAACAGAAAGATGAGAGGAACAATTTCAATTATATATAACTGCTCCAGTGAGCTATGCAGAAAATAAAATAGAATCAGAGAGGCAAGAGCTCCTAATTCAGCTAAAACAAAATGTATAAGACATCACAAAGGAAATGATAAGACTGGAAGGATAATTTCCAATTCAGTAAAAGCCATAGAAGCTAAAAGAGAACACACTATATCTCTGGATGGTTTGTAGATCAGTGTTACCAGAATGTGAAATGAGAGAAATAGGTAAGGTTGGGCTGTGAGAATAAAAATACATAGTGAGATTTTAACTTACATGACACATGTAGTCAAGTTCTTACCAGATTGAATCTTAAATCAGAAGTATAGAGAAAGAGAAACCAGAAAAGAAGTCATTGTATGTGAACAAAAACAAACAGGCAGTAAGCATCCAAAAGAAAGGAGTACAGAGGTATTTAAGATCAAAACTGACTGAATTTTATGATTACTGAATTTGACAGAGAAAAAGACACTAAAAAATAATACTAGATTCTGATTTGAACAATCAAGTTCATGTTGGAGCTAAAGATTATTTCTGATCAATAAAAGAAGATAAAAGGAAATCATAAAAATATTCAATTTAAAAGAAGACAGAAAAAGAAGGGAAACCACTAAGAATGATAAAATGATTTGGATTGAGAATGTTCATCAAAGGGCTCATCCGCTAAGAGGTAAGATGTTTGGAAGAGGATTGTAAAAACATTTTGAATATATTTAATGCACATGGACTGTACATTTAAAATAGCTAAAGTAGCAAATTTTATGCTGCATATATTTTACCATGATAAAAAGGTACAAAATGGAAAAATAAAAAGCAGATGTACAAGAAAAGTACCCAAATACTCACCAGCTCTAGCTTCCATTTTCCAGCCTCACCAGCACCTCTTTGAGTATCTCCGTCACCATGGGAAAATGGTCTCTTTACAGCTTCACCCACCCTAGAATCTTCACCTGTTGCAACCCAAGAATTCTGCATGTTCCCCTGAAATAAAATGTGCCAGTAACTGCAGTTGGCATTAGGCTTTAAATAAACATGCATATTTTACAAGTGGAATACTGTTTCTCACTCATATTCAATGGGGGAAAATATGCTTTTAAATTACAAGTCAAGAACCCTTTCATGTTTTCAGTTTATTAGGCTCATATTCTACACTAGATGTTACAGAGTTAAATTCTGACAGGTATAGGCAATAATCCCAATGTGAATGAAGAGCAATGGATGTCACTAATTTCGACAAATGGAATGATCCCTTACTCCTCCAAAGACAAGGCAGAGTGACAAAGGGGAAATAGCTCATGGCTGTGGAAAAAGCAAAAGCAACAGGGACAACCACGGCTCTTTCTATCCTTTATATAGTATCCTGACTTCTTAGGCCATGTGGCACTCATATCCTTAATCCTAGTGTCCTTGAGCCTAGCACTGCACCATGAATGAGTCACACACTCTAGATTTAGTCACCTCAGAAAAAACCCCACCTACAACTACATGAGGCTTTAGGGGGCACCTAGACACAAGCCATAACAGTGGTAAACTGCATTCCTCCATAGGAGTAGTATGAGATTCTATTCCATATTCTTCTCCAAGTTTTAGTGCAAACATGTATACAGCAGTTGCTGTTTTCACAAACTGTGCCAACAGCTTCCCAGATAAAAATAAACAAGACCAATCTCAGTCAAGAGGGGTTTACCTTCTGAGGGAAATAAACACCAAAGTAGATAATTTTGATTTAATAGGTAATAAGTTTTGATTTAACAAGTTCTAGGCCAGAAATGTAATGTATATTAGGGACTATGTCAGAAAAGAGAAGGGATATTAAACAAACAGAAACTTAAAGGTTTTCAGGAGTAGTTATAGGCCTGGCATGATATCTAGATGGGAGAGCTATTGCAGAAGAGAGGGAAGACTGCATACACCTGAGAAAAGTCACAGATGGGAAAGAGCATGGTGCCGCAGATAGGAGGGTTCACAGGAAATTCACCTATTACTACAGCAACTGTACAAGATGACGGAAGTCAGAAGATAAATCTAGAGAATCAAATTAAGGGTCTCGGGAAGAGTATAGTATGCTATGCTAATGTGCTTGTACTTGATTGTGTAGGTGGGGCCAATTCTCCCAAGATGTTATTACATTCAAAGTTGCTTTTGAGCTCAATGAAGGAGAAGGTTCTAGTTTACTGTAGAGAAATAAGAGAAAGTTTACAGACCAATCTGACTTAGGATATAAAATATTATATAAAATATATAAAATATCATCTTGTGGAAAGAAATGCTAGTCTGATGGACATTTTATTCTTTCACAGATAGTTTTTTTGAAAAATTAAAATGACATTTAATGAAGTTACCAAAAACTATATGTAGTAAATCCTGAAGTTCATTAAAAACTTCACATTTCTTAGTTGAAGGGAGTATTAGTAGTGGAAGGATAGCAAACATAGAAAGGCATAGCTTAAAAATTTTCTCCTTAGAAAAAAAAGTCCAAGTGAATGAGTATACATGTCAAAATTTCTAATAAGTAGCTTCTTTTAATATCATTTTCTGAACTCTAGAGAAAGCTTTCCCGGAAAAGTATTTTCCCAGAAAAGTGTTGAAAATGAAAATAGAAATGAAATATAGTTTGAATAGTTTGTTTTTAAAAAATCATCTGGAAGCTGGAGGTAAATGCCTGTACTCCCACCTACTTGGGAGGCTCACATAGGAGGATTGAAAGTTTGAGACCAGCCCAGGCAATTTAACAAGATCCTTTCTCAAAGTAAATATAAATAAATTAAAAGGTGCCAGAGGTGTGGCAGTGGTAGCCATGTATACAGCCATGTGTCTAGCATGTGTACAGCCTTGGGTTCAATTCCCTAATACCATGAAAAAAAAATCATCTGTTTGCTTCTTCAACTTCATAAAGTAGGCCAAAAGCTAACAGTCTTGTTGGGTAACCTCCAAGGCCAGGGCTAAAAGTGAGACAGACCAAAAAGGACAGTCTTCTCTAGTCTATGCAAATGAAAATTGTTTCATTCAATATTGATGACCTTTTCCTATCTATGCAGAAAGGCAACATAATTTGAGGTCAGGTAAATGGATTTGGGGAGTCAGACAGTATTGAATTAAGTCTTTGCTTGGGCATTTTGTAGCTCTGTGACATCAGACGTATTTAACCACTGTATATTTTAGTTTTATTTTCCTCTGAAAATACAAATAATAGTATCTGCTTTATGTGTCTACTGTGAAACTGAAATCACATAAAGTGTTTGATACAGTGCATGGCACATTTAGCCATGTAGTTACCGATAAACATAGTTATTACTATATAACTATTTCAGTTATTTTTCTAAAGATTATGAAACACTGAAAAAAAATCAATACTCAAGTCAGCAATAGTGTTGGCAAATTCTATCATCAACATTTTAATTCACTCATTAAAAATGTCTCTTTCCCAGGGAAAGGAAGATCATATGTCTGTATCTCTTTATATTTAAGGAATTCTAGAAATTTTGTTCATGTTAAAATTCCTCATACCACATCCTGCCGACACTGCTGAAATGGCTCAATTTATGCACAGGAATAAAAAGTAGGAGTAACAATTCTCTAACAATAAGTAACACAGAAGAAATAGCATTAAAACCCACACCACAGTCACTGGACACATCTGCAACGATCATATCACTATCTGTACTACATTTTAGTTCATGTGGATGTTGACAGAAAGTGTACAAAACCTCTCTGTAACCTTGAGTGTTCTATGGTTATGACTGCAGTTTCCCTCAGCACATTACCTTTGCTCATCTGCCAGGCATGTGCTGTTACCCTCATTTCCTTCCCTTTCTGAATTACTCATTTCTTTTGCTCTCCGATTCACTGGTCTGCCTAATTTCCTTCCTTTCTTCACTTCCCCTTCTTCTACTTCTTTGCCATTGTATAAATATTGAAGATTGTGAATAATGGATTGTGTAAGTGACTACATATTTTGAAGACTATATTTTCTTAATGAGCAACTTCTAGGTAACTTTCATTTTAAAAATATTTATGGTGCTATCTTCTTCAATTACCATTAAAACAATAAGAAGGGAAAATTTAAAACCACTAATAATAATTATACAAATTTTCAGAAATAGTTAAGTATTTAGGGAAAAACAGCTGGTTACAAACTTAAATGTATTTGCAGAAAAATAAACTAAAATACCAATCAGCCTACTTTGCTTTTAAGAGTTAACACAGATATTTCTCAAAAGCAAATTCTAACACATATAACAACTAGAAATAAAATAACTTAGAAGTAAAAAAACTCTTCAAAATCAAAATGAGAAGATACTTAAGTAAAACATCAAGGCTGGTTTACTAAAATGACTAAATCAAAACCACCAAAGTCAATACAAAGTGAAGCTGCAATAGCAAAGTGTTAAAACTTCCCTATGGCCAGGCACAGTGGCAGATACTTGTAATCTCAGCTACTAGTAAGGCTGTGTGAGGCTGAGGCAGAAGGATCAGAGGTTTAAGGCCAGCCTTGCCAACTGAATGAGGCCTTTCAAAAAAAAAAAGGGGGGTGAAAATGTAACAGCATTTCCTGGGTTTAATCTCTAGTACCTCAAACAAAACAAAACAAAAAACTTCCCCATGGAAAGCTGAAGTTGTCACAAAAAGGAGAACATCTGTGATTAACTCTATCCTACAACAAAATAGTGACAAACACTATCTAAAAGCATCTTTGAACAGTCATAAGAAGACATTAAATTTAAACACTTTAAATATCATAACAAGAATGTTGTGCCACAGAAATATAGAGATTATGTGTTCCACTGGTCTTCAAATTATAGGAAACTGATACTAGAATCACTTGGACAACTTGATAAAAATTCATATTCCTATGACCAACCAGACCAACTGAATCAGACTCTCAGGGCATGAAGTCCAGGAATCTATGCTCTTAATCTATGCTGATAGAGGTCAATATTCTCAAATTAGTAATAAAGGAGGTTCAGCCATGCGAAGCCCTACAAAACCATTTGTTATATTCTAGTCCCCAGTACTACAATACTAACAAACAAAACTATTTGGTGAACACTGGTTGCTTATTTACAATGGTTAAGATTAACATTTTGATCTGTGGACCCTTGGTACAACGATCTTTCTGTTATATCATATTGCTAACTAGACCTATTAGATTTTAGAGTTCACAAAACATTTAGAGAAATCCAACAGAGATCTAAAGTAAGGTTCTGAAAACTTTCTAGATCGAGCAAAGTTTTTCCTATATAACACACTGCCTGCTTTCAGATCCATTCTTTCCACGTGGAAAAAACATCACTGTTAAGCCTAGAGAAGAAACTGGAGTAAATATTAGGCATCACTACATGATTTCACTTGAGAATACATTCCACCACAGTGAATTCTAATTTTTGAATCATCAAGCAAACACAAGCATCATACTTGGCCAAATATCAAAGAGACAATCTAGAGTTCAGAAGGCTTAGAATTTATGACTTTAAAAATGCTCACTGATACATCCTGAATGGTTTGTTCCCTCATTGTCTCCTCTTGTATCTGAGATTTCAGCTCTTGCTGGGGTCTTTCATTTTCAACCACAACTACTTGTACCCTATTTTTCATTCCAGATAGTTCCTCCTGTAAAAATCAGAAACCAAGTATATTAAGCATTTTTAAACAATGTTTTTATTTATGATTACTGGAGGATTCACCAAGATATGAAGTATAGAAAATATCCTCTTGATCAATTTCCTAAAGTATTATAATTATTTTTAGACAAGAAAGGCAACCTAAACTTTACTAGTAAACAAAGAGAAGGTTGAGTGTAGAAAAATTGAGAGCCTGCTGATGGCTATATCACCAGTATGTTTAGTTTCTGACAATTTTTTTCCAAGGGATTGAGGTTCAAGGAAAGACCTTAATTAAAAATTATCTAAGAGGGCCAGGGATTTAGCTCAGTGGTTCAGTGGCCTGCCTTGCAAACGCAAGGACCTGAGTTCAATCCCCAGTACCAAAAAAAAAAAAAAAAATTATCTAAGAGATCTTTAACAAGGTAGACTGCTGAAAAGCCTAAAAGTAGGATAAAATGCATTATTACTAATAACAAAATGTCAAGAACTTGTGAGGACTATGAAGATAAAGACTGTGAGATAAAGATATAGATCCAACAATTATCTTTGAATTTGGAGCCAGATAGAGGTGAATGGTGAGTAAAGCAATTTAGTGTTCTAAAATAGAAAAACTTTGAGAAGACAGCCCAAGGGACCCCAACTGAGAAGGGCTGCCTAGGGAATTGGATTCCCAAGATTTGCATCATAGCATTCAGCCACCCAGGTACTCAGAAGCCTCTAAATGCCTGATACAAGAAGGTCTGACTACTGTTCCAAATGGTGGTGGATCTTGGCATCATCTATATGATGCTGATTCTATAGGGATACTGAATGCAAGAGTTGTGGGATTGAGGAAGTTTCCACCTAGATTTATGAAGAAGGCCAAGGATGCCAGACAATGTGCCCTGAGAGCCCAGTGCATGAAGCTATAATTATGAAGCTGAAGAAGGCCACAGACAGTGAGGGTTTCGAAACACCACAAAAGAGAGATTGTGAGGGTTAAAATCAGCAATGCCTCGGAGGTGGTGTAATCCAAGCCATTTGGAGTCTACATTGTGCCACAATTTGCCTTGGGTGCTGGACACAGAGCTACAGGATTTAATGTTTGTCCTGCTGGGTTTGGGTCTTGCTTTGTCGCCATTCCTTTCTATCTCCTGATTTCTCCCCTTTAGAATGGGAATATTTACTTTGTGCCACTGTATGTTAGTAGTGTTTAATTTTCTTTTTTATTTTACAGGGCTCACAGGTAAGAGTTTGCTTTGAGTCTCAGAGAAGACTCTGGACTTGGACTTTTCAGCAGTGCCAATACAGACTTTGGCAACTCTTAGAGATATACTAATCTATTTTGCATAAAAAGATGGACATGAGTCTTTCCAGGCCCAGAAGTGGAATGTTATAGTTTAGATAAGGAATGTCCCTCAAAGGTCTCATGTGCTCAGAGGTTGGGTTTTTGGAAGTGACTGGATCATGTGAGCACTCTACTCATCACTCAATTAACACATTTACAATAGTGCTGTAATTCATATGTCCTCCTGCCGGGCAGCTCTAAACCACTGGTGGTACATGCATGCCTATTCCATCAGGAGGCATAGGTCCCATTGGGTGGTACAAATTTCTCAACAGGAAAATCATGTATGTACCACTGATGATACCAAGCTGCCCAATGGGACAGTTGTGCATGGATCACCAATGGCTCAAACCAGCAGGAACAGATTAATGCACTGACAAATTCAGAGCTGAATGTGCCATTAAGAGGTGGGGTCTCATTTGAAGAGGTAGGTCACTGGGAGTGGGACCCGGAAGGGTTTATCTTCTTTCCAGATCTTCCCTTTACTCTGTGCTTCCTAGCTGCCATGATGTGAGCAGCTTTTCTATCTGGCCTTTCTACTATGCTGTTTCTGTGTTTGAGCCTGCCAATCATGGACTGAAACTCCTAAAACTATGAGCTAAAAATAAACCTCTCAACCTTTAATTTTGGGGTATGAGATATTGTGTCTCAGTGATGAAAAAAGTGACTCAGACAACATCATATTTTCTATTATGCTGCTACAGTACTCACAGGTAATAGTTTTGCATTCCCAGCTGGATGATAAGTTAATTCTACTTCATGTATTTTAAGTTTTATCTATAGTATCTTACAGATTAATAGATTCTTATTAATGGAATAACTATGAGGATGTTATTTTAGCTTTTTTGGTAATCCCAGAAAACCTATATATTAATGATTGCATCTTCTAAGAACAAACAGAAAATTAAGCATTAGTATCAGTAATTCCCTTACAAAATCAAGATAATGAAATATCTAAGGGCTCTTTAAAATATATATTGGCCTTATACCTTTGGAGACCACCCACTCAAAATGTTAAAAATACAATGCATGATACAAAAGATACCAGTAATTCCCATAAAATATTGCATAATTCAATCCTTTGCAGCAAAACAGACACCTCCTATATATATATATATATATATATATATCACTCATTTTACCTATGGGCTAAGGAGGAAAAGATAAAAGGAAGAAAGAATACAATAAAGCAAAACAAAAACTAAAACTCTAACATTGGGAAAGCACAAAGGTTCTGACTGGCATTAATAACATTAGTAAACTACACAGAGTCAAGCAATATTAACTTCCAGTGCCACGAGTTATATGTGATGCATTTGCTTTTGAGATCATTATTAATAATACCCATGACTCATTCTTTTCCTAAGTCAAAGTAAATGTTTTAATAATGACAATGGAAACAGATTTAGTCTACTAGCTCAGAATCCCTGATTGTTGTACCACAGCTTCAATAGGTTGACAAGTGTGGGAAAATGATTGGTATTCATATTTGAAAGCATTTGCCATCTGCTAGGCTATGATAAATGGAGTGGAAAGAAAAAATTCTGAAATACGAGAGGATGTTACAAAATTATGAGACATAGTAATGGACTGCCTAGAAATTGAACAATCTGAAAGTGCACGGTCAAGAATATCATTCCCATATCTGATAAGCTTCTGTAACACATAAATCTTTCAATAATATTAGAATGACAACTGTCAAGGGATTGCTATAAACATGAAGACTATTAATAGCAAATTTTAATTTATGGTATAATTAATATAATCATAAGTTTAAATTTATTTAGGAGTAAACTAATGAGAAACTTACCTTGTAGAACTTGACTTCTGCCTCTAAGTGATGAATGTATTGAGATTGATCATTCATGATAGGAACAAGGTTGTGCACAGTAGGCATGTTGTTTTCCTCATATTCTGAAGACCTCTAAGGCACAAAAGCCAAATTAAGCATGTTTCGATTTACAAAGTAATTGCTACACTCAATAGAACAGTGATGTGCTATAAACATAGAATATTTCACAATGTAGCCAACAGTTTTATTTCTCTATTCTGTAAATTTCACAGATATATAAGATCCGGGGATATGAATATCATTTTTAAAGACAGAAAGTGAGGGGCCAGGGATTTAGCTCAGTGGTGCTGCTGCCTGCCTCACAAGCACAAGAACACAAGTTCGATCCCCAGTACCACCTCCCCCTCAAAAAAGACGGAAAGTGAGAAGAGTTATAAAAAGCCCATGGCAAATGCTGAAGTGGCATAACTGGCTTGGAATGAACAGCCTATGTGATGTCCCATTAGTAACTCTGAGATACAAATAGCCATCTCTAAGAAACTGCCACAGAAGAGGGCTGCTAGCTGAAACTACTAGCTGAAATAGTTGAAACTTTTCAGTTCACTGCAAAAGAGATTCAAGCGTTTGATGCCAAATGTGTGTCAATGACATACTATTCCATCTCAAAGCATTCATTGGAAAAATATGCTTTGCTTTTTGTTTTGTTTTTGACACTAGTAGTCAAGAAGTTTTGAAGGCATATTGTTCTGGAGCCCAGAATTGGCAACAGTAGAGCCCTAAAGCAGAGACATTCATAACTTAGTGACTAACAGCACTGAGGATCCCAATGAAGAGATTCCAGAAAAAGTTCTAAAGCTACTCAGCTCTGCAGCATGGTTGGGAATTACTTTCAATGTAAACCTTTCTTATCTTATAATGATTGTGAAATGATTCATAAAATTATGTATTATACCAACACATTTGTAAGAGAAAATGAGAAAAAAGGGAAAAATGGGAGTAATCGAGTTAAACCTAGAGAAAACATTGAGACAAGACAGTTTCTGTTTCTTAATCATTCTGTTTCTCAGTCCAGTAGAAATTATAAACAGTAAATATTAGCTCTATGGCAAAGTAACATTTTTTGCTTTTTTGGTATGTTTCAGAAATTTAAAAACCAACGTAACTTTATTTTTAAAAATTAATTATTTTTTGCAGTGCTTGTGATCAAACTGAGGCCCATACATACTAGGAAAGAACTCTACCACTGAGCTATAACCCCAGCATCAGTGTAACTTTAATTAAATGAATCACTTGTGCTGAGTAGAAAGCAATTAATTGTAATAATTTCACAGTAGAAGAAATGAGTCCAGAAGGTAGACAAAGACAGTCAGTCCTCCATGTCTATGGGTTCTACATCCATAGTTTCAATCAATTATGGACCAAAACGTTTGGAAAAAGCTATGGACAGACTTTTGTTTTCTTTTTTGATCATCATTCCCTAAGCAATATAATATAACAACTATTTACATATTATGTATCATAAATAATCTAGAGGTGATTTAAAGTATATGGGAAGATATGCACAGGCTATATGCAAATATTGTGGCCTTTTACATAAGGGGCTTGAGCACTGGGGCTTCTGGAACAAATTCCCATGGATACTGAGGGATAACTGTGTTATTATGCATACAATGGGGAAAGCCAATGTGAAATATAAGGATGTAAGAGTTAATACTGTGTGGAAAATGTTCACAAATAATTGGCACATACTTTGGTATATTTTGAATGGTTTATTATCATTTGGATAGTCACATATTAAAATAATAAGTAATAATGCCCAGATACATTTTCCATCTGAAAAATGACTCAATTTCACTCTCAATACACCCACATCTTTCCTATATCTCTTACTGGTTATAAATGTACATTTTAAAGGTACAATATTTAACAGCTACTTATTATTGGTATGATATAATTATTGCATGTGGCCTATACACACTTAGAATCTAAGCTCCATTCTTTTATGTATCTTCATACAAATAAGCTTGTGCCTTTGTACAGTGCTCTTAACATCATATGTGTACTAAATGAATTCTCCTGATGGAAGCCTTCTGATTCAATAAGTTCCATAATATCACTGTTCAGTTTTATCCTTAAGGAGTTAATAAGTATGTCTGCAAATTCAACAGGCAGTTGTCACCTAGCAGACTTGAAGGCACTCCACCCTTAGTGTGCTTAAGAGCATTCTATAAACCAGATGTCAACAGTAATAAATTCACTGAATGATGCAATATTTTATTCAAATTATACTCTGTATTTGTTATTATATTGAAGATGTCATTTTTTGTGCTTTTCTATAAAGTAGGAATTAAGCACAGAAGTATGGGGCAGGCTGGAGAGAAGTGCTAATATAGAGTACCATTAAGACATTTCAACTGTGAATAAAGCAAAGTGACAGGTCTTCAGCTTCCAGTATGTAGATTTTGTATTTCACTATCACACACATTGATTTTGCTGCTCTACATATTTGTGTCACACCTCACAGGTTTCTAAAGAATTGTAAGTATTTATCTTACTTTATTGCAAAAGCCCTGTGAGAGAGGTCCAAGTCCTACAAAGCACATGAATAGGCCCTATTTACACTCAGGACCCAGTCTATTATTTTGAATTAGTCCAGCATTCTATCTTTCACATCTATCCCAGTCTTTAGCATATAAAATGCTTTAATCAGGAATACACTGTGTCAAAGCAATAAAAACCTACCTCAGAAGAAATAGAATACACTATTTTATAACTACATATTTTAACATGAAGAATAGTATCACATATCCTAGTCTGACATTCAGAATAAAAATGTATTGTGGGGAGAGCACTAAAATAGCTGAGTAACTTCTAAAAATGACTAAATATAGAAATGATCGCTAAAAATCGAAATTACTGGGCTAGGAAATGTAGCTCAGCATTTGCCTACGTGCACAAGGTTCTAGGTTCAATCCCAGCACCATAAATAAATATTACTTACTATTATGCTTTTAAATGTATTGTGCTCTTTCTATATTTTCAACAATTGTGAAATAAATTAAACTGTTCTCTTTCTGACGTTTTTCAAAGAAATAATGAATGAAAAGTCAAATTAAAAACGTATTTCTTCTTCAGTCAAAATCATCACTAATGACTTCTACTATTACATGTTCTAAATCGTCTTCAACATGCACTACAAAACACACTTAGAAAACTAATGCTTTACTTACCAAAGGGGACATTTTTCGTCTTCTTGATGGAGATATCTCACTTTCCTTACTTGTTTGTTGGCATAACAAAGCTCTCAGCTGATTAACTGCACAGCAAAAGCAAATGTGGTTATTAACTTTGATTGAGATGCATGGTTTATGCTATAATTCAGTCCTGAAATTTCCCTAAAGGCCCCTATATCAGCGGCTTAGTCCCCAGACTGGCACTACTGGGAGGTGGTAGAACCTGTAAGACATATGGCCTGGTGAGAGGTTTTCCAGTTACCATGGGTGTTGAGGTTAGGGTAAAGTTTCAGCTTGTTTGGCTTTGGGATCTTCCCCGGGAATTGGTGCAGCACACTTCTAGATGCGTCTGCTTGGGAAAGAGGCCCGGTGCGTCTGTATCTGTTCCCTCCTGTTTTCAGCTCTGTTTCCCAGACCCCATGATCTAAATAGCTTTGCTCTCTTGTGTCCTCCCACCAAGATGTCTCTGAGCCCACTGATCATGGACTGAAACCACAAGCAAATTAAGCCTCTCTTCTTTTAAGTTGGAGGTGTTGGGATTTATGTTTCAGCCACCAGAAAACTTAGTAATATAAAAGGATATCCCTGAAGGGAAGAATAAGACCCTCGCCCCTTCCTCTTTCACTGTTTCACTTCCTGGCCACTAGGCAAGTGGGTTTTGCCCTAGTAGTACTTCCACCACAATGTGCTGTCTCACCAGAAGTCCAAAGCAAAGGGCCAGTGAGTCAGGAAATGAGATCTTCAAAAGTGAGCCTACATAAACCTTTTCCAAGCGTATCTATGTTGGACATTTGTTATAGTGATGGAAAAGTGAGGAGGATAGTTTATCTTCACCCATCCTACAGCTATGTAGCAAATATTGCTTAAACTTCTATTAGGCATCAAGACTTGACTGGGGGCTGGGTGTGGTGGCGCACGCCTATAATCCCAGCACTCGGGAGGCTGAGGCAGGAGGATCGCTGTGAGAGACCAGCCTGGGCTACATAGTGAGTTCTGGGTCAGTCTCAACTACCTAGTGAGACCCTGTCTCAAACAACAACAACAACAACAACAACAACGACAACAAAAGCCTACCCTCTAAGAACTAAGAATTAGCTAGGGGTGATGGAGCACACTTGTAATCCCAGCACGCTGTGAGGCTAAGAAAGGAGAATCACAAGTTGGAGTCCAGCTCAGGCAAGTCAGGAATTTAGTGAGAGCTGTCTCAAAACAAACCAAAAAAAAAAAGCTATCCTAAAAAATAAGGGGAGGACTGACACTTGTACTCACCGGCGTGGCTATAGTGCAGTTCGTGCCAGGCTGCCTCAGTGTCCTCTTTTCCTACATTGGTACTAACAGAAGGATCCGGTGCTTCTTCTCCAACAGTCTCATCTCCTTCTCCCAAGGCACAGTTTAGTTGGTGAATGCTTCTACTGGCCCGCTCTGCAACAGAAATCTGATGAAACTCAGAGCCAGTAAATATGAGCAATCACACGGACACTTGCTCAAGAAGGCAGTTTTGAGAGGAGAATCTGCTGTTTCTGGCACTTTGTGCATAAAAGTAGTTCTTGCTGGGGACTGTGCCAGAAGAATGGAGAGGAGACTAAGCTCAACAGTAAGAAGTCAGGACTGGGGACTTAGCTCAGTGGTTCCACCCCCTGCCTCGTAAGCACAAGGTCCTCAGTTTGATCCCTGGTACCAACAAACAAACAGTAAGAAGTTAGATATGATGATATTTAAGGTTCTTGTCACTGCAATTCTTGATTTCCTCTTTTTTTTTTTTTTCTTCTTTTTTTAATGCTTGGGATAGAACCCAGGAACTCACACATGCTCTACCACTGAGCACCACCACAAAATGGATTGAAAGGCAGAACTACTGCCCTCAGGCAATAACCAACCTGGGGATTTGCTCTCCTTCCCCTCAATGCCTAAGTGTCCTCTACCCTGTCTGGAGACACGGGAGTGGGTAGGCAAAACCAGCATGAGGGACTCAGTCCTGTTACTACTGGCCCAGGGAAGCCTCCTCGTTCTCCCTGAGGACAGGATACCCCTGCCCCATCAGGAGACACTGAAATGCCTGGCCTAATTTTGATCAAGATTTGAACAGCTGAAGTGCTCATAGTGGCAAACTCTATTGTACAGGCTTCCTTATCCACTGTTGGCTGACAATACTTTATGTATAGATTCCTGATTAGTAAAACTGATCGTTACTAAAGTTGAGGCTCAAACTAACCAGCACACATATATGAAACATGATTCAAAAATACAATGTTTAAATTTTTAAAAATGTATAGTAAAAGAAGACACACTGCCATTGATTTCCCTTCAAAGTACTCCACCTTGCTTGGAACACACTTATTCCACGGTTATTGCCACTTCCTGAAACAGATCCAGGTGTCTTCTTCGGTTTGTTTGTTGTTTGTTCATTTATTTATTGGTACCGGGGATAGAACTCAGGCCCTTGCGCTTGTGAAGCAGGTGGTTGAACCAATGAGCCAAAACTCTGGCCGTCTTTGGTATCCTTAGATGCGCTGTTGTCCATTGACGTCCTGAACTGATTCAAAATGTTTACCTTTCATGGCCACTTTGACTTTGAAAAGAGCCAGAAGTCACACTGTGCTGCATCCAGAGAATAAGGTGGATAAAGGCATACCATGTTTCTACAAGCCTGTCATTCTACTGGATAAAAGGTGCAGAAAGTAGCTATTAAGGTTCTTATGCTTTCACTGTCTTCCAGCACTATGAACTGTTGCCCCTCTGCCACTCTGCCTCAGAGCCAGCCAATTATGGACCTGAAACCTCTAGGAGCTGTGAGCCAAATAAACCTTTCTCCCTTTAACTTTGGGTGTTAGATTTTGTCTCAGCAAGGAGACAAAAGTACTAAGACAAGGTCTAAAGACTAAAAGGAAGGATTTTTGTTTGTTTCTTTGTTTTATTTTGTTTACTTCCCTCTTTTTATGGGGGATTGAACACAGGGCTTTCGCAATGAGCTACATTTCTAGACCTTTTAAAATAATATTTTTATTTTGAGACAAGGTCTTGTTAAGTTGCCCAGGCTGGGTGCAAACTTGCGATCCTTCTTCCTCAGCCTCCCAGACACTGGAATTTCAGGTTAAAATGAAGTATTTTAAAGTATACTGCTGTGATAGTTCATTTAAAATGGCCTCAAGGACTTCACCTTACTTCCTTGTGTCCTCCTAGTTTGATAATGATTAATTTGCATTAACCAACATGAAGGAGTGGAAGATACGTCATGTAAGACCTAGGCCTCAGCTAGTCAAACTTCCTAAAGAGCTTGTGAAGAAGTCACAGGAAGAGAAGAGGCCTTGAGGCTACATAGAGAAGAAAGTGGTCCCTTACCTCCTCCACTCTCTCCGTTCCCACCCCAATAGTCCTGTGCAGCCTCCAGATGGTTCCTGTGCCAGGGGCCATTTAAGTGCAAGAAAAAGACTTGATTCATTACCCATCATATATGGAAACATACTTATAAATATACATTTTATAGGACCTTCAAAAACAGATTCCATTTTTCTCCAAGGTCATTAATTTCAAAATTCAGAAAAGATGGGAAAAGCATCTTAATAGAAAAAAAAATACTCCATGCTACAAGATATTTAATATATTTTCTTTACTTACAACAATTCATTTTCTACCTTGATTAAAGTAAAGAGACTAGGTCTTTCAAGTCTGAGTTAAACAATGAAATTCTATTATTTGAGTATAGAAGAAATCCAATGAATTTATTACTACATTTTTCTCTGAACCAAGTCTATTTCCACACAGATCTTTCTCTGATACAAACTGAGTGTAAATTACTAACCAAGCCTGTCTCCTCTTACTCATCATAAGTGTAAGGAAGTCCAAATAAAATGCATTCCTGCTCTTGGCAATATAAAGAACAGCAATAGTTTTTCAATAACTCAGCATTTTCTAAAGAGATTTGTCAATGGAAAAGGAAAATCAAAGTGTTAGATGGTAAGCAATTTAGTTCTCAGAGCTTTTGATTTATGCTCTTAAATCTATGAAGAAACCACTTGCCTTTACTGCATCCATTAGAAAGGAAACAGGGTTTGATTAACATTAAAAGTGAACTCCTCAAAGCTACCAAATGACTTTACCTCCAAGACAATGGATGATTATTTATTTATACCTAGTTTGACTAAAAGCTAACAAGCTATATTAGGAAAAGAAATCTAAAATAAAAAATTGAAATGTTGAAAAAAATCCCTATAGGTTGAGTTCTTTCATCAGATTACAAGATAGGGTTTTAAGAGCCATTTTAGGCCCTTTTATAATATTCTTGCTTAATCTTTCAGAATTCTTAAAGTATATTAGATACCTTGTAACATAGAGTATTTTTTTCTTTTAAGTTGCAGTAAGGAAATAATAGTATGTGAATAATGAGATACTGAACTCAACAAACTATCCCAAAGAATAGTGATACACAAGGCTTTGGTTTTTGTTCTGTTTTGTTTTTTTGTTCTAGTAACTGACTCAGTCACTAGAGTTAGAGAAGAAGAGAAGGAATTTGTAAGAACCATATCCTAAACCTAAGATCAAGGAGGTAAATGACATTTTAAAGTCATTTCAATACAACATTTCAAAACAGGCTGTTTTTCAAATATATACACAGCACCATAATTACATACTAGGACAAAGGGTTAGACCTGAGGAATAACAACATCCAGAAGATTCCAGACAGATGAAATCCCATCACTCTTCAGCGGGAGCCATTGCAACTGAAGCTCACATCATCCTTATTAAGAACACTACTCCCCAGATGCACTTAGCTGCTGCTTACGCTTTAGACAGGAGTTCCAGTTATCATTTCCTATCCTACTGTTAATGCAAGACAGCTCAATCTACACAAGAGATAGAATGCTCATTTCCTCTTTTCTCCTCAGAGGACAGTAGGGTATTTCAGAATGATGCATCTTGACGTCATCTTTCCAGTATCAACTGCAGGCTGATTGTAAACTCAATTATGAATATGAATACAAACAGGACTTCTGAGTCCTAAAGATCCCATGAATATAATGCAAGTAAATAACATGCTAGTCCACTATCCAAACATTAATCTGTATAAAGGGCAGTTAAAACGATTTTGAGCTGATGACTGCTGACAAATTTCTCTCTTACTCATTTTCTCAGCCCCATTTTCCTGCACCCTATGTTCTAACTCCCAGCTCACTGTTGAGCTTCTCTTCATCAAGATGTTTCTGAAGAATATGCAAGTATGTCTCCATCTAGACAGGATATAATGGTTTGGATTTCAAATGTCTCTCAAAATGCTACGTGTTGAAAGCTTGATCCCCAAAGTTGCAGCATTCTGAAATGCAGTGCAGAGGGGTGATGGATCATGATGAGCACTCTAACCTCATCCATGGAAGAATCCAAGCTACGAAGGCTTTAGGAGATGGGCCTAGTTCGAGGAAGTTGGTCACTGGAGGCTCCCTCTGAAGGATATGTCTTGTCCTTGGCCCCAGCTCTCTGGCTCTGCTTCCTAGCTGCCAAGGGTTGAGCAGCCTCTTTCATCACAAGCTCCCACCCCCACGGTGCTCTGTCTCACCACAGGCCCATAACAATGGAGGCAGATGATCACTGACAAATCTCGGAAATTGTGAGTCCAAATAAACCTTTCTTCCTTTGTTATTCTCAGGTACTTCATCACACAATGGAAAGCCAATTAACACAAAAGATCAGCAACTACATACATATTGTGAATTATTAATTTCGACATTCTCCATCTGTCCTGGGAGATGTGAAAGAGAACTGCCTTACTGCCAGGGAGAGGGAACCACCCCATGAAGCACCCAGCTGTCTCTGAGAAAACGTGCAATGAGCCATTCCATAGGCTGAGATACTAGATACACTGTAAAAGTTCCTGACACAAGCTCTGACTAGAGTAGACAAGCAGAAAAATGAAACCAGGGAAAAATAAGAGAAACATGGGTCTGTCCACAGGACTGCCATGTAGCCTAGTTCAGAAGATTGTTGTCACAGTTTACTAAGAGACTGACAGGTAGAAAAAAGCAGCACATCCAAAGACAGACAAAGCCAGCTCTGTAAACAGCAAGTATACTAGTAAGATTAAAAGCACAGTATGGAAATAAAAAAAGAAATCTCAAAGAAAATACTATCTTAAGATTCTAATAACTGAAAATGTGCTAAAGTGGCTGGTACCAGGAGTAACAGATAATCTGAAGGAGGATGTAAGCATCTTTAAGAAAGCAGGGTCTAAAAGATCATTAATGATGTATGGGTATTGGAAAATTAAAGAGATTGAGAATGTATTCATTCTGAGGGATATACCTGGCATTTCTTTGGCACCAACTGAGAGAACTTATGAACCTGTCAGTTCCATTGATAAAGAAGCAACTCTAGCTACCCTGGCAGAAGAATATGGCCAAAATCACCAGCCAATATAATATGTAGCTATAATT